ATATCCAAAAATGTAAGTAATTTATTTTTTAATTAAAATACACAAAAATGAATCCTGCCCTCCTGGTCGCCCAATCGTCTCAGGTATAAACTCTATTTTATCAAATCTGTCAGAGTATATTGATATTTTACTTTAACCATCTGTAAAAGAAATGAAATCTTACCTAAAGGATTCCATGTCCCTTCTATTCTTAAATGATTTTATCTGGCATCCAAATTAAAGCAGTGAAGCAGTCACCAGAATATTAAGAGAAGAGAATAAGATTTCAGAATCCCAAATTAATTTTAATATAGAGGGTATTATGATTATTTTAACTAATAATTTCTTCTGGTTTTTAGATTCTTTTTACCCTTAGAAAAGAGGTACGGCAATGGGGACTAGGTTTGCCCTCAGCTATGCTAACTTATTTATGGCTGACTGGGAAGCAGATGCTGTATGGAGCGACCATAGCTTGCGGGCAAACCTGGTCTCCTATTTTTGCTTTATTGATAATTTATTTTTTATCAGGAATGGGTCAGAAAGTTCTCTTGTCTTGTTTTTAGAACATTTAAATCATAACAATTTTTTTTTACTTTTGTATAATTCTTTATTTTTCCATCTTGGCAGACACAGTGATATAATATAAGCATAGTGGCTTGTGCAAAAGCCAAATAACATGTCATACATAAGAACAGTGTTATGTAATAGGCAACCAGAGACACTGCATGTTCATCATAATTTATAACTTCTTCAGCGTCCGCCAAGGAGTTTTTCAATTTGTTTTTTAAAATAACATTTAACTTACATTAAACAGTATGCAGAACAAGTCAATCCACATCATGTTGGCATGTACTACTTTGCTTTTATGAGATGCGGTTATAATCCTTCTATGGTTGTTAGTTTCACAAACTGGGACTGTCTTATTGAGTTGGTATCGCCTGTGCCTGTAAGGCGCCATTTATGCATTCTCCAATTCTATACTAATTATATAGCTATATTTTCTAGTGCTGTTTAAGCACCTCATTGTACCCTTATGTTAGGCAGCCCCCGGTCTAGTGTCAAAACTCCAGCGTACCTGCACTCTTCTCTCTTTGTGCCTTGCGTACCCTCTAAAAAGCACTGGTTCTCTCTAACCACACCTATGTGCTGTCTAGTAATTTGATAATTGGAGCATAAGAGGCATTTCTCCCATATCGAGTAGACTCTTTACTGCAGGAGAGTCTAGTGAATAGATGCACTCTGCAGTCCCCTCTGTCATTCTTACTACACATTTTGTAGCAATTGTTACACTCTGATTTACCAAATATCTTTTCTCACTGATGCTCTCTCTGCTATATTTGTTATTCGAGGGTTCAGTGTCAGCTCTAGGTAGACTACAGGACTTAGATTTAGCCTTGTGCTTTTTTTTTTTTTTATTCTTTATTTTGGTGGGTTTTTTTCCAAAAGGGGTGGGGTAGCAATCATCTCAGTTACATTGAAATTTAACAGCATAACACAATGTGTTTTACACAATGTTTGTACAATGGTTCTCCTTTTAGTAGTGCTAGGACCTGAGTGGTCTGCCTTTCGGATC